TGTTTTCAGAACTTAGCATCTTTATTTACTTATTGATTTTAATGTTTTCAGAACTTAGCATCTTTATTTACTTATTGATTTTAATGTTTTCAGAAGAGTAGGTACAGTAGACTGCATTCCACGGTAGAATTTTGAGAGTCCAACAGTTATTATTATTATTGTTTACAATTCAATGGTTTGAATATATTAAAAAGAGGTGTGTGCAATCATCACCCCTATGGATCTTAGAGCCCTTCCTTCATTGTTATTAGCTCCCCATTTTCCACCACCCCCCTCAACCTCCCCTGCCATAATCCTAAGAAAGGATTATTCTAGTTACGGTCTCTATCCATTTACCTTTCCTGGATGGCATATAAAGAAGCTCATACAAAAGGCCCTCAACTACAATAGCAAAATGACACAGGAAAAATCTCAGTCCAAAAGAAAGCAGAAAATAATACAAAGTTGGACAAATTAAAAATGAGTCAAAGGGGTAAACACATGATAAGATGTTAAAATTTAACCCAAGTAAATTTCATTAATTTACTTTCTGATGCACTCTGTCAGAGGGCTTAATCTCTGTGGGGACTCCGCAAATGGATTTTGGGGTTTCACTGCCATTCATGGTCTTCTGTAAAACAAGTGCTCAGAATTTTAAATCTACTATAATTCTAATACAATTCCCTCCTCTGATCTTGCATTTTGTTATGTATAATCCTTGGTCTCACAGGCCCAAACAGCCTTCTTTTATCTCCTCTATTTTCATTCTCTTTTGGTCTAAGCTCACAGTGTTTCTTCTGATATAACGTTCTCAAAATACCTGTGTGCCTCTCATTTATGTCATGGCCATCGACTTTGTTAGATAACAAGGTCCTCCCCAGATACATACAGGGAAATGTGTATTTCTGATGGTTGATGAGCTGGGTGAGCAGATCCATGAGTTACATTATCCATTTCTTTTAAGATAACTCTGTGTGAAAGAATAATCTGAATCTTGGGTTCTTCTGAATTACTAGCAAAAGTTGTCTAATCACATACCTGCTTCTCTTTTGAGAATGGCTTCCTGATAATAAATCTCCTAATTGTACCATCTTTAGCAGTTCGTGTCGGTAGATGATTTCCCAAATCACCGAATCTTGGTTCTATTTTGTTTTTACTTTGCTTCCCTTAATTAACCAGACTCCATTTGCATTTTACTATAAACAGTAAGAAGAAACTAAGCCATTTCTTCAACATTTAACATGGAAATCACTTCAGGTAAATATTCCGCAGCATCACTAGGAGTTCTGCTTTCCCTGTAACTGTAGGGCTCAATTCAGCTACACTTACTGCCCCTGCAAAGCAAGGGCCTCCTTTCTTCTAGTTTCCAGCAACACGGCTTTCCTCTCCTTCTGAGACCTCTGCCATCAGTCACCTCTACATTTATATTTCCATCAACACTCTGTCTTTGGCAATTGAAATATTCTCTGTGGGTCAAACATTGGACCTTCTAACTACAAGGTTGGTAATGCGACCCCACCAGTTACTCCTGTTAAGGTTTACAGTGTTGGAAACCCCAAGGAGCAGGTTTACCCTGTGAAATTGCCTCAAAAGCAGGGAGTCAAGATGATATTTCATTGCCCTGCTTCTTAGTTCTCCCTGATCGGTCACCACCTTTAACATCCATGCTTCCATCAACTGTACGTTTCAAGTGGTCTAGACTTTTTCTGTCGTGTGTCATACATTGAAGATCATCTTTTTAATGACTCTCTATTGCCCTGCCCATTGTCTGGGTCATCTCCTTGCCATCAGGTACAATGCTGTAGTAAATTCGTATCATATCCTTAATAGCCGTATATGATGGTATGCTATCCATACTTCATCTCTTTGCTAATCATGATACATATATGATATGCCATCTCCTTTGTAACCATAGATGGCATGACACTATTTCTGAGACCTCACCTTGATAACCACGTGTAACAATAAGCTATGTGTGTGCGCGCTCCACCTGGTTGAATTTCAGTTTGGTCCTAGGCTTTCTGTTATCTCATGAATAACCATGTATGATACTGTGCTATTTATGTTTCCTCTCCTTTATAACCAAGTATGATGTAACAAGTTACCTACATGAAGAATATGAATACTGCTATGTTATATTTCTGTCATCTCTTTGATATCCATGTATGATGCTAATGTTGTGTCATTGTCTTCATTGCTATGTATGACACTGTATTTATGCCATCTCTTTGATTGCCTTGTATGATTCTATAGCCTCAGATCTTAAAATAAAACACATGGCACTCTACTATGTCTAGGCTATCTTTCTCAGGACAACCTACTATGTTCTATTAAAAAAAAACCAAAATTCAAACACACTCCTATCGAAGTTGGTTCCGACTCTTAGATGCTCTACAGGACAGAATAGAACTGCTCCTGCAGACTTTCTGAGACTTTAAATCTTTATGGGAACAGCCAGTCTCCTCTTTCTCCCATAGAGTTGCTGGTGAGTTTGAACTACTGACCTTGCAGTTAGCAGCCCAATGTATAATCCACTGCACCAGCTGGGCTCTTGGGCTCATATATATTATACTATGCTTCTGTAATTCGCTGATGATGACATGTGATGCCAAATATGCCTGCACCTTCTGTCTTTAGACTCTGTGTTAGGTTATGTCATGTCTGTGTCAGCATCTTAAAATCACTTGCCGTGTTTGCACTGAGTCCTCCTCCAACCATTAGCTCCCTGAAGACCATTTTGGACGCTAGACCATGTGTTCATTGTTTCCTTGATGAAAGCATATGGTCTCCAGCGTTTCATCTCCTAGAAATCACATACAGGATCCTGTATTAAAAATGGGTCATCTTCTTTGGAACCGTTTACACTGCAACTTTATACATCATCTCCATAATAACTCCCTGTGATAGAATGCCAAGTCTGCACCCACCTAATCCCTCTATGGGGTGCTCTAGTGAGAATCATTTTCTTGATGGCCTGTTAAGGTTCACCTCCAACTCTGGCATACCATGTGACACACAGCATGCATCATGTCTGTCAAGCCCACTGCTAAGTGTCGTCTGCTCTGTCACCTGCTAGCTCACTCTAGGCAGTGATTCTGTTTTTATTAGAAACAAACAAACAAACAACATTTAAAAAAACTCTTTATGTTTGGTCTTTGCTCATCTTTCCATTGTTAAAAATGATGATCTCATTCAACAGCTACATCTTTATACGCAATCCACATCCTCCTTTTCTTTCTCACCAGGATTACTGGGAAGGCTGAGGGGGTTTTTGTTTGTGGTTTGTTTTCTTTCTTGCTATGTTTATTCCTGTGAAGCTCACTCTCATTTTGTGACAGGGTTTCAAACCACATTATTTTCTCTTTCCTGAGGTATTTAAATATGAATGTGTGAAATTTAGAGTATCTATCTACCCAGGAGAGTCCCTTTCGTGTTATTAACAAACTCAACGCCTGTTAATTATTTTCCTTGAGGGCTTTAGAAATATCCAACTATGTAGCATGCTTTATATATTTAAGTCAAACTAATTCCAAAATAACAGTTCTTGTCATCGTGTCTACTTCCCCTTAAAGTTTACAGTAAAGATAGTAGTAAAGGTAAGTATAACTTCTATTAAGATAACTGGCCTTCTTCCAAATGGAAAGGAAATACTTTACCTCTATGACATTTCACAATGTGCTTTCTGACAGCATGCTTCATCTGGTGAGGTGAACTTCACCTTGTGTTTTTTCCTAACAGCCATTTCCCTGCTGCTGTCTTATTCTTTTTCTATATTTATTTAAGTTCTCCAATCCTTTAGTATAAGAAAAAGTATGTGCTACTTCTTTCACACAAATATCCATCCATCCATCCAGCGCTAATTTGTTGTTTCTCAATTTGATGACAGTATTTGGGTTTTTCTTTTTTTGGTTCCCATGTGCTTGTCAAAGGAGTCTTGGCCATGTAGTGGTTACCCATTTGGCTGCTAACTGCAAGTCAGCAGTTCAAAACCACCAGCTGCTCCAAGGAAGAAAGACGGGGCTGTTCTACTCCCATAACGAGTTATCGTTTTGGCAACTCACAGGGGGCACTTCTCTGTTGTAGGGGCTGCTGTGAGACAGCATCGCCTCGACGGCAGTGAGATTAGTTTGCGCTTGTCATTCTCACAGACACTGGGGCTACTGCGGAGAACAAAACATTCTGCGAGCTCTTAGAGAGCTAGAGTTTCTGAGAGGGCGGTGGAAGCTCGGTGGTTGAAGTCTTGCCTTCCACGTGAGCGACCTGGGTTCCTTTTCCAGCCCATGTACCTCATGAGCAGCCCCTACTCATCTGCCACTGGAGGCTTCTGTGATGCTGAAGAAGAAACGACTTGAGTATCTGTGTCTGAAAACCAGCCAGTGAAAATCCTGTGGATCACAGTGGTGGGATCCTGTTGTGCACGTGGTCACTATGAATCCCCTGACTCAAGGGCAGTCAACAACTGCTCCTGAGTCATGGGTCAGTGGACTCGCACCAGGCACATGATGCTGGCCCCACTGCTCTGTTCCCCTGGGAACTTACTTTGATTCCTTTCTTTCTATTCAGAACTCCTGTCACCTCTAGTAAGATCAGGGCCAGAGAGGCTCTCCTGGATCCTGTAATGTGACCAGCTGGTATTCAGTTGCTGGCTCTCACCTTGAACAAGAAGACAGACTTAAGCACAAAGCTCACCTGTCAGTGTGTGCGTGTGTGTGTGGGATATTTATATAATCTCAAGCCTGTTCTTCAGAGTTCTGGATTCTGTATAAATAAATGCATTCCTATCCCCAAGGAACGGCAAGAGTTTTCAATGCTGATACAAGGAAATGCATCACTAAACTGGAAGGTCATGAAGGAGAAATCTCAAAGGTAAGTCACATCCCTGTTTGCATCAGTTCATTTACTGTGGGGGAAAAAAGTCCAGGAAGCTTAGTATAATAGATATATTCTTTAATTAATGCAGCCAACCTTGCTGGGACTGAGATACTCAGGCCTGTTCAGTCTTTTCTTTCTGGAAATGAGTTACATAAAGACTCAGCTTTTTAAGTGTGTTCTCAAACGCAGTATGATACATGATTTCTAAAACCATTAAAAAGGTATAAGATTGTATTCTCTTCAGCTGCCAGGAAAATATTTAATTAGCTGAAAGTACTTCTCAAAGCAATTTAAGGAGCTTATAAAGTATCTTTCTGGTCTTTCATAAACAGGTATTTCTAGTATGTAAACGTGTGCTGCGCAACAAGTATAAAGCACGACAATGCCTCACTTAGCGACTGTCTTATTATCTGGCATCTTGCGTTTCTGACAATGGTAAACAATCTGCTATCATTATTTTGTGTCCACATCTGGCAGTCCCGTCTGAGAGTAACCATTGCCAAGATGTGAGGCCAGAGCAGCACTGTCAGTGATGGTGAAGGTCATGTCTCAACTTGACTGGGCCATGATTCTCAGTGGTTTGGTGTCTGGTAATGATGTGGCTTGGCAGTTCATGTAACGAGTCAATTGTCCTCCATTTTGTGATCTGATGTAATCATCCTTCCTTTTCACACGAAGGCTGTTTTGAATAATGGCTTGGTAGTTTGAACCTAATCATGTTGGTCATTGAGGAAAGGGTGTATTCTGTATACTAGGTGAACCTGAGGCATTTTCTGGAAATATTTAGCATGCAAAGTATAAGGTTGCTCCTTTTCAAATGCTAGACCCACACCTTAGAACCCCCTACCTTAATGTTACTGGGTGCTGCTGAATTGATCCCGACTCATGTTGGTATTGCTGCTGGGTGACATGGGTTCTGAACCATAGTGACCCTATGCACAACAGGACAAACCACTGCCTGGTGCTGAGCCATCCTCACCATTGCCCCCATGCGTGAGCACATTATCACAGCCACTGTGTCAGTCCATCTCATTAAGGGCCTTCCTCTTTTCTCGCTGCCCCTCTACTTTACCAAGCATGATGTCCTCCTCCAGGGACTGGTCTCTGCTGAGAACATGTCCAGAGTACGTGAGATGAAATCTCCCCAGTCTTCCCTCTAAGGAGTATTCTGGCTGGACTTCTTCCAAACCAGATGTGTTTGTTTTTCTGGAAGTCCATGATACTTTCAATATTCTTCGGCAGCCCCAGAATTCAAATACATCAATATTTCTTTGGTCTTCCTTATTTAATGTCCAACTTTCTTCACATGCATATGCGGCCATTGACAGTATCATGGCTTGTGTTAGGCACACCTTAGTCTTTAAAGTAACATCCTTGTTTTTCAACACTTTAGAGAGGTCTTGTGCAGCAGATTTACCGAATGTAATGTGCTTTTTGATCTCTTGACTGTTGCTGCCATGAGCATCAATTGTAGGTTTAAGCAAGACAAAATCTTTGACAGCTTTAATCTTTTCTGCTTGTATCTTGTTGGCCTAACCATCACTTATCATGGGAAATTTCCAATCCCCTTTTCTTTCTTTCTTGTATTTATTGTGAATTGGGTGCCGGTTTACAGAACAGATCAGTTTCTCATTCAACCACATATACAAATTTTGTTACATCTCATTGATTGCAATTCCCACAATGAAACCTCTCTTACCTCTTATCCCATTTCCTGTTTCCGTTCCTCCTCCTCTCCTAGCCCTTGCCTATTATCTTATAATTCCATTTCTTCCCTTCATATGACACAGATAGAATATTCTAGTGGAGGTCGGGCATGGCGTAGCGGTACATAAGAACTCAGCTTGGTTCTCATGCACTCCAGGGCCCGGCTCCCTGCCCTGTCTGTGAAAGGGGTCAGGAGGCATTGGAAAGAAGACAGGAGAGGGGAGGCACGTGACAGAGGGGTGCAGTCTTTATTCTTAGAATTGCGAAGAGGAGGGCATTCCACTTTCCTGCCCAGTTTCAGTTCTCTCCCACGAATCTCTGCCAATGAGCCCTGGTGGTGGAGCGGCTCCGCGCTGGGCTGCTGACCACTCGGGCAGAAGTTTTAAAGCACCAGCTGCTCCGAGGCACCAAGATGAGGCTTTCTACTCCCGTGAAGAGTTAGAGGGGACAGCCACAGGGGCAGTTCCACCCCGGCCTATTGGATCGCTGCGGGCCAGAACCGACATGATGGCAGTGCGTTGATGGCTTCTTTTTTTTAATCCCTGCAAGATTTATCCCTCTCATAATGATAGGGATAAAGTTCGTGGAACTTCTCTGTGTGATAATAAAAGCCATGCCCCCCGGATGCTGATTAAAACTCTACAGGAAATTGTCCCAGGGAGCCCCGCGGTGCATCCGGTTGATGGCAGTTAAGCATTAGGCGGCTCACCCCAAAGTCGTGGTTTCAGCCCACCTGCGGGTCTGCAGGAGAAACAAGACGGTCCGCTTCTCTAGAGGTGCGCGGGCTCGGGCTCATCCGGCCAATCTGTCCGTCACTGTTTCTTCTTTCTTTCTCCTCCATAGATTTCTTTCAACCCTCAAGGGAACCGCCTGCTGACTGGCAGCTCGGACAAAACAGCGCGCATCTGGGATGCGCACACCGGCCAGTGCCTGCAGGTCCTGGAGGGGCACACGGACGAGATCTTCTCCTGCGCTTTCAACTACCGAGGGGACATCATCATCACAGGTGTGGGAGAAGCCAACGCCCCGGGCCCCGCTTTCTTTCTAAGTCAGCTGTGCGTCTTTCCAAGCTGAACCGAAACATAGTTTGTCCCTGCCGCCCGAGGCACTTGTTCCGGGGCTGCTGGCTCCTCTCGGCATAGGCTCACCCAGCTTCGTTGCTTAATTGTAGTTGCGTCGGGAACCGCAGTAGTGAGCCTTGCTATGTCCAAGGTGGTGGTGCCTGGCTGCTGGAGAAAACAAGCAAACAAAATGACCAGTGAGTCTAACCCACCAGCCACCCACGGGAGAACGATGCACCTGCCTGCAGCCTTGGGGACACCATGGGGCAGTCCTGTTCTTCCCTATAGGGTGGGAATAGACTGGATGTCAGTGGGCTTGCTTTTTTATTTTGGACTCCTGAAAGTGAAGGATCCCTGGTTAGGCATGGACAAACTACAAACTGCAAGGTCGGTGGTTCAAGCTCACCAGCCCTTTGGTGAAAGAATTCCCAGGAAACTTGTCTGCTCCTGTAAAGGTTTACAAAGCCCAGGGAAGCGGAGGCAAGGTGGCTGTGGGTCAGAAGCGGCTTGATGGCAGTGGGTGACTTTTGGTTGGTTTTGTTTTTGACGTGAGAGGTGTATCAGGTCAATTGACTAGAAAAACAAGAGCAGCGATTCTCTATATTTGTATATAATATATATGTGTATATATATAATAATAACTTTATATCAAGAAGTCATTCCAGCCCAGTCTAACTGAGCCTTGGCTAGCCTGAGGCCCCTGTCGGACTCAGGTAGCTGCAGACAGAGGAAGCAGAAAGGTGAAGTGGAAGCAGGGGGATCACAGGTCGATGGGTGCAGAGTCGCATAGGTCTAAGCATCAAGGCCAGTGGGGACATGGCAGGGCACAGCCAGCTCCCAGGGTCAGCAGCCTACACGGGGGCGGCCCTGGAGGCAGACCTGGAATCCAAGCAAGGAGGGAGGTCAAAGGGCCAGAGTCAGAGCCAGAGTTTCCCAGCGCCCCTCTTACAGAAAGGCCACACCCCCAAGGAGGTATCATCAGGTATCACCAGCCTGGTTGACAGGTTGGACCCCACCCCTCCACCTTCATCCAGGTAGATGTTGACAGGAAATCTAACCACCACAGGAGCAGAGGGAACCAGCAGCATCCTGGGCTTTTCCAGCCCAAGAGAGCCATTTCCAGAGATGGCCGCTGAATGTTGCTCCCTGGTGGAATGTCTCAGGGTTGCCATGGGATCTTGGGGAGGGTGGGCAGGGGCTCATGGAACACTGGCTGACTCTAAAGAAAATCGTTAAGTGTGCTGGGTGGAAGGTGCTGCTTCCTGACATGTGAACCTCTCAAACCCGGACCTGTTCGGAGCCAGGGCATTTCCATTCGGCAGTGGGTGTGGGGGCAGAGACAGGGTGGTGGGGCAGCAGGGATACGTGGAAGGGATGGAGGAGGCTGGGGCATTCTCAGGTCCCCTTCAGCCCAAAGATGCTGCGAGACCCGCTGTTCTGAGGACAACAGGGACTTGCCCAACTTACCACCAGCCGTGATCCTGGGAAACAGAAGCCAAAACAAAGCCACTTGGTCCACTGGGGTGGACTCATCTGGCTCATTCATAATTGGCAGTGACCCCTTCCCTGCTCCACTGAGCCCGTGAGAGACAGACTGAGGCAGAGCGTCCTTCCCCTCTGCCCACCTGCCTCTGCCTCCCCACACTGGAAGGAGAAGGGCCGCAAATGGCTTTCCTGGTTAGTCTGTAGACAGCCTTGGTTAAGGTGTCCTCAGACCTGGGTTGGTCTTTGACCAAAGCAGCCACACCCACTGCTGCCTTTCAGGTGATTCCGACTCATAGTGACCCCGCATGACAGCAGGACCACCCCGTCGGTTCTCCTCAGAAAGATTTCCAAGGCCGCAAAGCTTCATGGAAGCCGGCTGTCTCATCTTTCCCCCCTGCGGTGGCTGGCCGGCTCCAAACCCTCACCTAGGAGTCTGCAGGCCAGGGAAGGAGTGGCAGGTGGCAATGACTCAGAAAATGCCAACTCGTGGACGAGCAGGTGAGGGGAGCACCTTGCCAGGAGGGCTAATGTTGTGATCTTGGTTTCCTTAGGCAGCAAGGACAATACCTGTAGGATCTGGTGCTGACAGAGGGGAACCAGTCCCGCACCCACTCACGCTGGCTGGCCGTGCTGATGGAGGCTGGGAGCTTCAGAGCGAGCAAGCAACCTGCTTTCTCACTTCATCTGCTGCACCGTTTCTTGGAGGTGGCTGTCTGCTCACGCTACTCTTAGCTTCCCGGGTAGGGCAATTAAAAACGGATGTCGTTCTGTAGTTCCTCTTGTATCATTGCACAGGGAGGGGGGAAATCTCGTGGTGTTTCCGCATGTGCTGCTGGCGTGTGTGATTTTGAAGAGATCTGCACAGCATCGCGACACCAGGTCTCCTGGAATCTATTTGGAAGATTGCTATTCTTTCTGAGACATTCAGTTTGGGGAGAAAATGCTTTGGGGATTGGCCGTGTATAGTCATGGTTTTCCAGGCCTGTGGTTTGTTCAGTCAATTCCTATTTACAGAGAAGCTGGACGGTAAGTAACAAAGACCAGAGAAGAGTTGAGGTGCTGGCGAGGAATATGGAGACGATCAAGGACTGCTAGTAGAGTAAACAAATCTGTCTTGGAAGAAGCACAACTAGAAGGCTCCTTAGAATCATGAGAAGGAGGAGCCTTCCTCTCACGTCCTTTGGACACGGTCTCAGGAGAGACCAGTACCTGGAGAAGGACTCCGTGGCTTGGCAAAGTAGAGGGTCAGCAAGAAAAGAGGATGCTCCTGGAACTATAGCCCCAGGTACCTTTCAGGTCTGGAATCGAACTCACCTCTGGTCTCAGTTGTCAGTCACCCAATAGACAGACCTCTAGGAGGAACAATAACACTAGGGGTATACATTCTACTGGAGAGAATCAACCATTTGAGATCCCAAGGGAAGCATTTACCCGAGAGCAATGTTCAGAAGGGTTAGGAAAGGAGGAATAGAAACAGGAAAGGGGTGGGATATGTGATGGTCCATTGAAGGGAGGTGGGGGTGGGGACTGCAGTGAATGGAAGGAGCAAAGTGCATATGAATCATTGAGTGTGATATTGATCATCTGCTCTCTCAACTTTTATGTAATCCGTAATACAAACTTTAAAAAGAAAGTAAAGAAAAAAAGAGGAAGACGTCCGATGAGATGGATTAATACAGTAGCTGCAGCCATGAGATTGCACGTCCCAATGGTGAGGATGGCCCAGGCCTAGACAGTGTTTCATAAGGCCACTATTGATCAGAAATGACTTGATGGCACCTAACAACGACATTCATGGTGTGTGCTTTCAATGAGACATGCCTGTGAGGAATTCAGATGAGAAACTGTGCCATTTATGCCCCTCTATTGCATTTGAGGGTGAAGAATGAGAGCTACAACTGCGGGAGGGAAGCTTGGCTTTCCCTCCCCTCCTCGTCAGGAAGTATCTCCCACTTAGTGCTCCCCCAACAAAGGAATGGCATTTTTTTTACCATTAAAACATCCAATCAAAGAAGCTCATAGGAAAAATTAAATAGACCCCCAATTGGTAGCGAATATTTTCTAGATGTATTAAACAAACAAGCCAACAAATCAAATTAAAAAAACACACCCCCTGTTTTAGTCTTGGTAGACTAGAGAAACAAATCTCGAGAGACACTTGTGTGTGTATAAGAAAGAGCTTATGTTACTGCCACAGACTACCATTGTCAACTTGACACTTTTACACAACTCTTTAGCCATAAAAAGTTAAAAAAAACCCAAACCATATCTGTACCTAACAGGATAAAATTAAAATGCATTCAATTCTATATGTGCCAAAACCTCATTTAAACATAATATTCGATGTGAATAAAACAATATTCTATGCGTAACAATTGCAGTTAGGTGAGCACCTATACCATAATCCCATAATCCTATGAACATATTCCCCCATTTTGGATATCCAATTTCTGTCCTGCCTTCTTACATCAACCCAGTGCTCTGAGGAGACAACCCTACTCTCTGAGGTGACGGAACCTTGTTAAGCTCACATGCATAAGCAAAGTGAAATCAGGACAGGCCATCCATAAAGTCAGCAGCAATAAGCACCAGTTCACAGGCTCAAAAATCTCATTTGGTTGGGTTCTGGTCAGTTCAATGTGGGCTGCCTCACTTAGCCTCACCAGGGTTGTGGCAGTTATATAATCATTTGTCATTTTGAGGATCAAGAGTGTAGGGGTGAAGCCTAACCTGCCAATCAAGTAACAGCCAACGAGGCCTCTGTGTGGGCATGACCTTCTCCTGAGAATTCTGGTAAATTATGATATCCTCCTTGGAGGTAGAAGACACACACTCTCTCTCTGTTCACTCCCTGGGATATTGCAGCTGACAAGACACATGGAACTACCTAGTACCCTGAGCTGGACCAAGCCACATGGACCTACCCTGATGCAGCCATGGGTGTTGGAGAAGCCACGTGGAGACCCCTTCCAGCAATGAGATGCTACAACTCCACTGGCCCCAGAAGACTTCCATCCCACTGGCCTGTGATCTTCCTGAATTTGGCATCATTTCATGTGTTTTATGAGTCAGAAGAGGACTTTATAGATTGGTATCAAACATATGGGTTAATATCGGATTTCAGGACTTGATCTGGACTGGGCTAACAAGTTTCCTCAATATTTAATTGCTCTTATATATAAACCTTTTTCTTATTCACATATGAGTCTCTGTGCATTTGTTTCTCTAGTCTACCCAGATTAATACAAGGGTGCTCATTGGTCTCCTGCCTTTAGACCATGGCCCCATCACAAATTCTCAACAACCCTAGCCTCTTTGTGCTAGGTCATGAACTTTAGACCAGTCAACCCACTCTCATTTTCTCCTGGAGCCCCTGTGAATCAGGTCCACAGGTGTCAGTGGCCAGATTCAACTCGTCTTTATTGCTGCTTTTCTCTCACTTCCACTCAAGTGGATCCAGGTGGTCACAAAGCAAACATTTCAGCCTGCCCACAGTGTTCCATGAGCCCCCTGCCACCTTCCCCAAGACCCCATGGCAACCCTGAGTCAGGCCCCCCACCCCACCCCCGGGAGCTTTAACGTTCAGTCCTAGAGCTGATTTGTGATTTTTTTCTCTAGTACCCCGTCCCAAGGTACCATAATGTGTTCATCCGGGTTGACTAGAGAAACGAATCCAGAGGCACTCATATGTGTGTGAGAAAGAGCTTTATATGAAGCGTAATTGTATATTAAGAAAATATCTCAGCCCAGTCCAGATCATAAGTCCGGTATTAGCCCATATGCCTGATGCCAGTCTATAAATTCCTCTTCAGACTCAGGCAGCACATGCAATGACACTGAATGCAGGAAGATCACAAGCCAGTGGGTGGAAAGTTGTGTGGATCCAGTAGTGGTGTAAGCATCTCAGCATTGGTGTGGGTCTCCTCCAGCTCCAGGGCCCTGGCTCCATCAGTGTGTCTCCATGTGGTTTGTCAACAGGAATGTCTCATAGGGAGAAAGCAGAGAGAGTGTATCTGGCCTCCAGTGAACTATTTATCTCCCTTGTGCCTCCAAATGAGATCATCAAGCTGCGACCTGATTGACAGACTAGATTCCAGCCCTTTGCAAGTTGACAGGAGATTATGTAACTGCCACAAACCCCAAACCTCAGTTGCAGCCGAGCCGCTTCCCAGGCCTGGCAGATCATGTGTGTCAGAGTAGAACTGTACTCCATAGGTCATTGTACAATCCACAGCCTTTTTATTCCCTGGGGCACATCTTGGTGGACTTCGACCACCAATTCTTCCGCTAGGCATAACCAGTTGTGCCCTCTAGATTGAAAGTGGGAGTGAGGATCATGTATGAGGATGGATCACGAAGGAAGAGTTCAACAGAATAGAAAGACTATCAAACCCAAAGTCTAAGACATGGACCATTGAGGTAACACAACGCACTGTCAAGCACCATGCCACACACTGCTGACGCAATAAAGGATTGCATTTTTTAAAAGGCAATGGCAGTGGAAAGCCAAACTTCCCCTTTTTGCCTTCTTGAAAGCTGGACAAGGTGTGGCTGTGTTTCCAAGGGCAGACGCCTGCACGCTGTCCTAGGTGCCCTCGCACTTCGGCAGGCGGCACTGTTTGCCTTTGGACAGATACGTTCTTGCTTTTCTTGGAACAGGAGCTGCCAGAGCACAGAGCGTGCACTTTCTGTGAACGGTGAGGCCCTTGTGCTCATCATGCTGCCAAGGCGATGATGGCATGGTTAACGCCCAGGGCCGTCTTGGCAAATCTGGGCCAAGTCTCAGATCCATCCCATCAGTCATGACACTCCGTGGCAACATTTCCCACCTCCTGGTGAGGACAAAGACCAGAAAGATGGATAAGAGAAAGTCCTATTTTCCTCCATCAGCCCTTCTGTTGGAAACTGTGGTATGAGCATTTCCTTTTTTATGGCACCGGAAATGCTCTCAAGAAAGCAACGTCAAATGCTGTCTTTCAGAGTTCTCATCTACACTTTTTTTTAGTGTCTTAAAAAAGCATGTCTTAACTTCAATGAATTGTATTTTCAATGTTATTATCTTAGCATACCCACAGAGCTGAAGAAAGTCAATGCGATTTAAGCTTAGCAGTCAAAGATGTGGTTAAGCGCTAACTGAAAGATTGGTGGCAATCAGCTGCTTCAAAGATTACAGCTTAGTGAGCCTGGTGGGGCAGCTCTACTCTGTCCTTGGGGTCGGCCAAAGTGGGCATGGTATACATAAATATTGTCACACTCAAGGTCAAAAATGAATCCAAGACCAAATAAACAAAGATTGCTCCTTCATAACCAAGAAAAGCCATCCGCTGTTATTTCCTTCTAGCCCCGGTTCAAGGTGTGAAGAAGGAGAGTCCGGTGCACAGAGGGGAAAAGAAATTCTGAGGCAGTCTCTGATTGGCAAGTGTTCTACGAAAGTGAGAGCTTCAGGAGTGGGGAGACTGTCCAATTATTAGACTATTAGACTCTAATAGGTCTTCAGGCACACATGACAGTCCTTGGGGGCTTTAAAGGAGCCCTACAGGTGCTGTGAATTGAGCACGGGGCTGTTAAACTCAAAGTCATTGGTACAAACAGCCAGAGTTCCACACGAGAAAGGTGAGGCTGTCTCAGAAACCCCAAGGAGCAGGTCCACTCTCCCCTGTA